AGCTGGTTTCCCTATCTTTATCTTTCCATATTTGCCTATTTCAGAACTCTTCAAAAGCCCAGTGTGTATCAACTATTTCTCTTTCACCTCTAAAGTTGTCAAATACCGTATTATGAAAGTAGATGTTTTCCATTCATTCTAGCATCAGTTTTACATTCTTTCAAGGCACTAATGAGGCAGAAATTGAACCCACCTAAATTGATTTCTGTAATGTCCTTCTGTTCGCCAAAATCAGCATCAGGTACCACTGAAAGGAGGAGGAAAAAGGTTACTTGTCTTGCTGAGCAAATGGGAGAAAATTCAGAAACTCTTTATTTATTTCAATGAGTCCTTACCATTTCCTCTAGACAGCTGCTTAATCTAAAAATGGACAAGTAAACAGTAAATGGTTAATACATAGCAGAATTCATATTGTTAAGTACTCAACAGACTGAAAATTTACTTACTGATACAGCTGTTATATGAACAAAAAACAAGATGAAAGAGAGAGAAGCGGTGAATCTAGTGCAAATCATTGTTGCTAATGAGTGGATGACAGCAGGTGTCTTGTGTTAAGTGCTTCCTGAAGCTTTCCCTATTACACATCTCAAACTTTGATCTTTCCTTATGTACTATATTGTTCAACTTATCGGAGAAAGAGACATTAACCCTTTTGAAGGCAGAGACTTTTAAGTTTCACTTAAAAGTTCAAGTGTTAAAGATTGGAGAAAAGTTTCACAATTTTAATAAGATCTGTATATTAAAATTAGTGTCTGTCCTATAAAATTAAAACAAATCTGTTGCTGTTGAGTCTGCCTCAGAGAGACCCTGTAGAGGCACAGAGTTTTTTAGACTATAACCTATATATAAGCAATCTGCCACATGTTTCTTGCAGGACCAGCTGTTAGATTCAAAGAGCTCACCATTAAGTTACAAGTCAAGTGTTTAGCCACTATGCCATTAAAGTTTCCTTCAGTATCTTTATATATAAATAATTACTGTATATAAAATATAAAAGCCCCAGTTAGATTCACTTCTTGTTGTTAGGTGTGACCCATAGCAACCCTATGAACAACAAATGTAAAGCCTGCTCTATCCTGTGCCAATTTCACAATTTCTGACACTCTCAAATTCACTGCTGCAGTCATTGTGTCAATTCACCAGTTGATGGTCTTCCTTCCTTTTGCTATTCCTCCACCTTTCCAAGCATGATGTCTCTCTCTAAGGAACAGCCTCTCCTAGTAACATGCCCAAAGTATATGAGACAAAGCATTATCATCTTTGCCTCCAAGGAGCACTCTGGCTGAACCTTCTCTAAAACATAACTGTTTGTTCTGTTGGCAGTTCATAGGCTACTCAGCACTCTTCTCCAATATCACAGTTCAAAAACATCAATTCTTTTTCTGTTATCCTTATTCATCATGCAGCTCTCAGATGTGTATGTAGCAAGTGATTGAAAACACCAGGACCTGAATCAGATTCACTTTAGTCCTCAAACTCGGGCTCACCTTAGTCCTTAAACTAGCATCATTGCTTCTCAGAAAACTGGAGAGGTCCGTCACTGCAGTCTTTTCTGGTGCAATATGTCTCTTGATCTCCTGACTGCTGGTACCAAGTGTTTTAACTGTGAATCAAAGTAAGATGAAGTTGTTGACAATTTTAATAGTGACCCTACAAACCAGAAAAAAGCTGTCCCATGGGATTTCTAAGCCTGTGTTCTTTATGAAAGCAGGCTGCCACATTGTTCTTCTACTGAGCAGCTGCTGTATTCGAACCACTCACCTTCTACTTAGCAGCCGTGCATTTAAGCACTGCACCATCAGGGCTCCGTTCTATATATCTGATATTCATAGATGAGAAGACTCATAAAATAAAGATGGCCATCCTTTCCATACTAATAAATTCAATATAAATTCTAATAAAAATGTAACAAAATTTTCAATGGAAATTCACACAAATGAATAAATTTCTAAGGAAAAAATATTTTTAAAAAAAGAAAAATAAGGAGAAAAGATGTGACCTACCAAAATATCTGTAATTTTTATAAATGGCAATTAAAGTGTGTTGTATGGCCAACTAAAAGAGCAATGGATCTATAAACTCAAGCACAAAGCTTAGAAAAAGAGGCAAGCATGTATGATATTTCAGCATGGTGGTGTTATGTGTCTTCAAGCAAAAACTGGTATAATAGGGAATGAACAATGAGTCAGAACCCTCCAGTTGTTGTTGTTGTTGTTGTATAGTGTCAAGTTGAGAGCAACTCTATGACCAACAGACCTAAATCTCATCCTGTCCTGTGCCGTCCTCACTATCTCAATACATTTGAGCCCATTTTAAGAGGCTGTAAATGGCATAGGAGATCTCCTTGGGAGAAGCTGGTAGATTTGAACAGCTTTCCTTTGGATTCCTTACCCACTAGGCCACCAAGACCCTTTTCAGTATGAGTCGCTGTTTGTTGTTATGTGCCATTAAGTTGGAACCAACCTGTAGCTGACTGTGAAACAGATTTTCAGGGATAGAAAATCACTAGAGAATTGACTGCCCATCTTTCTCTCATGGTGCAACTGGTGGATTCAAACAAAACAAAACAAAATTAAAAATTTTGGAGAGAAACTTTATCTCTTCAATAAATGATATTAGATCATGAGATTCTTTTATATGCAGAAAAAAAATTATATTCCACACCAGTCACAGAAATAAACTGTAAATTCATGGGGTTGTACAATTTGATGGGGGGGAGGTGCAGGAAATTGAAAGAATTTGTCCTTGAAAACAATGTATTCGAATTTTGTAAATAAACTAGTAGAAAATTTAAAAAAAAAAACAAACCTAAGTGTGAAAATCTAAATTTTGAGTTAAAAAATAGTTAAACACTATTAATTTTGAGCTCTGTAAAGACTGTTTAAACAATTACAAAAATAGAAATCTTAAGATAAAAGAATAATAAATCTGATTATATAAAAATAAACATCTTTAGACCAAAAGAGAAAGAATAATTAAGAAATAAGCCACAAAAGGAAGAAGATATGTAGATTGCACCTAATTAGATTAGGAGAAATATCCCAGAAATGCAAGAATTTCTCTTTTTTTATTTTATTTTTATTATTATTTTGTGTGTCTGTGTACCGTCAAATCAGATCTGACTGGTATAGGAGGAGATTGTCCCTCCTTTCCCCGCAGAGCATCTGGTGGATTCAAACCATGCGCCTCTGGGATTGCAGTGCAGCTTCTTGCCACTAGGCCACCAGAGCTCCCGTCAGAAATGCAAGAATTTCTATAAAGCAAGAAAGAAAATCTAAGAGAAAAAGAGTCCAAAGCCGTAAACAAGAAACTAAATTAAAAAAATGCAAATGAATGATAAACATGTGGAAAGAATTTTCAATCTCATAGGTAATCAGAAATATGCAAATGTTCATAAGCATGAAGCACTGTCTCAAGCAGCTCGGTTTGGCATAAATTAAGAAGACTAACCAATACCAAGTGTTTGGCATAAATTAAGACTGACAAATGCCAAGTATTGGTAAGGAAGTGAGGAAACAGGAAATCTCATATAATTTTTTCTTTGTGTGAAAATTTCATACTTACTACTAGAACAGAAACTTGGTAAGAAGTTGCACTGCAATCCCAAAGGCACACTGTTTGAATCCACCAGCTGCTCCGCAGGAGAAGGATGGTGAACCTCTTCCCATGCAATTTACTGCCTCTGAAAACCCACTGAATGGTCAGCTACGGGTTGGTTCCAACTTGATGACACACAACAATAAAGAAAAAGGTCAGCAAAGGAGAGGAAGACTTTCAGTGACACAGATGGACACAATGGCTGCATCAATGGGTAAATCTCATCAGCGACTGTGAGCATGGTGCAGGGGTCACTCAGAGTTTTGTTCTGTTTTGCATAGTATGACTATGAGTCCCAGCCATGGAGTTGGCCCTTAACAACAATAAAGGTGAAATGTGCTTAGGCTATAAGGTAGAAATCATATTCCTAACTACACTCCCTCCCAGAGCATTTAATCGTGCTAATGCGAAACCTATATTTGGACCAAGAGGCAGTCGTTAGAACAGAGCAAGGTAACACATGGTTCAAAATTGGGAAGGGTGTACGCCAGGGATGTGTCCTATCTCCATACCTTTTCAACCTGTATGCAGACCAGATTATCCGAGAAGCCGGGCTCTATGAGGAGAAGTGTGGCATCAGGATTGGTGGAAGATCTATTAACAATCTGCGTTATACAGATGACACAACTCTGCTTGCTGAAACTGAGGAGGACCTCATGCACTTGCTTCAGAGGGTCAAGGACTGCAGCCTTCAGTATGGACTGAGGCTCAATATCAAGAAGACAAAG